GTGCACCTTTTTTCTTTTTTTGCTTTTTATTATCAGCGAGTTTTTGATCAGGGCTTTCTTTTTCATTATTCTTTTGATTGGTTGGATTTGCTTGTCCTTGTTTCACCTGAATTTCCTTTTGATTTAAGTTTTGACTTATATTCGTTATGTCAGCTTGTAAGTTTGACTTTTTACCAATTTTCACTACCATATTATCATCATTTTTGTCTTTTTCATCCAAATTATTTGAACTTTTGACTTTGCCGTCATCATCATTTGAATGATCGCTTGTTTCAACACCTAGTTCATCATCTGAATTATCGCTTGGGTCATCATCTGAACTATCACACAAATAATCTGAATCTGAAGAGTCGGAATCTTCGATCATTTCATATTGATCAGGGTTATTTTTCTAAATTTTTTAAAGAATTATTAAAATGTAAATCACCAGATATTAATATACATAAATGCATCAATATTTTTTAATTAGAGAAAATTTTTACCATTTTAACATCACCATCATTTTCAATTTCAATAATAACAATATCCTCATTATTAGTCTTTCGTTTTTTCACTTTTTTCTCTTCACTACTATCTTCTTCAACATTAATAACACTTTTGTTATCATTAACATTATTATTATTATTATTATCATCATCATCGTTATTATTACTATTATTATCATCATTATTACTGATGATGTTGTCATTGTTATTAACATTATTACTCTTCTTATTATCAACATTATTATTGCCATAATCATAATCATTATTATTAACATTCGATTTCAAATTATTAGCATCATTAGTTATATTATTAACATTTGATGAATCATTTGTGTTGTTTAAGGCATCAATTGACCTCTTTAAATTTCTCTTTTCCTTTTCAATTCCTTCACTTCTATTCTTGTCATTAGTTTCACCATTAACTTTCTCTTTTGCAAGTGGTGGTGCCTTTGGAATTTGTTCAACTTCAGGTAAATCATTTAAGCAATTAGATTGATTAGCGGGCTCATTAAATTTTGATGTTGTAAGTGATGGTGACGCTGGTGATGATGCTGGCTTTGATAATTTGCCTTTATTTACTGTTATTGGCACTGGAACATTTTCGTAGGGTATTTGAAGGAATTGAACGTAATTACCAGTCAAATGTATTTTACTTGAAAAATTTTTTTTTTTAAATTTAAATATAAATATATCACATGTATATAAAAATATTAATCTAATGTTATTAATAATAATAATAATTACTTGTTTCCTTCAACATAAATGGTAACAGTTTCACCAAGGAGAACAGAATGATTCAAAAGTTGTTGTTCTATCTAAAGATTGATCAATCAACATTGACATTAACAATGAGATATCATCAACATTAAAATGCATATTTAAAAATTTGTATCTTAAATAAATATTTATAGAAACTAAAGTTACCACTCCTGGTATCAAGTTACATAGTACAAAACGCGAAGAATTATTACGAACGATAATAACCGATGTTCTCTTATTATCCACTAACTTTGAATCAAAAGCTACCTACATCAGTTAATAACCATATATGTTAATATAATAAGAAAAGAAAAGGATGGTGTAGAAATTCATTAATACAAACCATTGTAATTGTGTAATTACATGGAGCCTTTTGAGTATAACGGTTACCACTGGCAACTTCAAGTCCTGTGAAGGAAGATTAAATTGCCAGAATTAATTTTGCATTACTATATATTTATATTGGGAGAAGATTATTATTAGTCTTTACCCCAAAAACCAATCGGTTTACTCATTTTTATTATAAATAAATAAAAGTTTCTTTTATTATTATTATTATTATTATTATTATTATTATTATTA